TAAGATCCAAATCAGTTCGGTCAGGATTCGGAGGCCACGGGCGAGTTGATCCACATGCAGTAGAGCACAGCACAGTTCAGCGCAGCATGCCCGAACACAGCGTAATGTACTAAGGACCGTGGCCCTGGGAGCGCGGACGCAGCTTAATTCACAAGGGAGCGCAGCCTTGGGAGCTTGGACGCAGCGTAGTGTACGAGGGACCGTGGCCCTTGCACCGTCCCTGGCACGTTCCGTGGCGCTTCCCGTGGCGAGTCCCTTTGGCACGTCGCGCGGCGCGTCCCGTGGCACGTCCATTGGCACGCTCCGTAGCGCGTTCCTTTGGCACGTCCTGCGGTGCGTCTCCATGGCACGTCCCCTGGCACATCCCCTGGCGCGTCCCTTGGGACGTTCCGCGGCGCGTCCCCCTGGCACGTCGCTCTGTCACTTAGCTCTGGGGCAGCTATGTGTTCAGGCAGCTCGAGCTTAAGATCAAGACCAGTTCGGTCAGGACTCGGATGCAAATCAGGACTCGATCCACGAAGCTATAGAGCACAATCGCGGCATGGCACATCATACGTCAGCACAGCGCAGCGCAGCACAGCCATTGGCACCGTACATCAAGACCGATACATTCAGCATTGCAGCTTGGCAAGTTCCTTGGCACGTTCCGTGGCGTGTCCCGTGGCGAGTCCCCCTGGCACGTCGCGCGGCGCGTCCCCTGGCACGTCCCGTGGCACGTCCATTGGCACGTTCCGTAGCGCGTCCTTTTGGCACGTCCTGCGGTGCGTCCCCATGGCACGTTCCCTAGCACGTCCTGGCGCGTCCCTTGGGACGTTGCGTAGCGCGTCCCCCTGGCCTGTCCCTTGTCAATTAGCTCTGGGGCAGCTACTATGTGCTCAGGCTGCTCGAACTTAAGATTCAGATCAGTTCGGTCAGGACTCGGATGCAAATCAGGACTCGATCCACAACGCTATAGAGCACAATCGCGGCATGGCACATCATAAGTCAGCACAGCGCAGCGCAGCACAGCCATTGGCACCGTACATCAAGACCGATACACTCAGCATTACACTTGCCCGTCGCCCAATCAAGTGTCTTGAACGCTGTGCCATGCCTTACATTTTTATACTCCTTTCCGGGTTCGTGCGTCGATCATGTTCTGGCTTGCGGGCACTGGTCCGTGCTTTGAAGCCCCCACCTTGGGAGCTCGCAGTGGCCCTGGGGGTTCGGGATGTGGCCCCGACCAGTTGCGTCCCTGGCAGTTGCTCTCTCCGGCCGACGTGGCCTTGCTGGCCCTGGCCGATTCCAATATATATATATATACATATATATATATATATATATATATATGTATTGGTTTTGATTGAACGTGGGCGCGAGTGGCCACGGACCTGCACCGAAATCGTTGTCCTAGCTCAGCGTGCAAGGGACTGCAGACCCGTCGCCCTCATCGACATTGTTGCTGGAATCCAGCGGCGCCCTCAGCGGCGGCAGAAGGATCATCCCGATCATCCCAGACCATGCTGGTGGGCCGCCTGGGGTCGCAGCAGTGATGAGCTTGTTTGGGCCCAGGGCGCCAGCTCAGTGAGCGTGCCGTCGCGGGGTTTTCAGGTGGGCTCAGCCTTCCAGATTTTCAGAAGGCCATGGAGCATGTGCGTGGTGATGTCTTCGTTGTGGCCGCCGCCGGGTCAGGCTTCCCGCCCCGTCAGTCGAGGCCCTTCGCTGGGCTCTACAGGCCCCCCCCCCGAGTCCTCGGCTCCAAGGCCGTGGCGTCTAAGCCCTCTGGGCAAATCAAGCTGCGCTGACAGGCTGCCACCCGGCCACTCTGATGCCTGCAGATGCGTTTCCCTGCGCCGTTTGACCGGGTAACCGAAGCATACCAGCAAGCTAGTGTCGGCATTGGTGCGGACGGTATCGCCCTGCACAGAGTGGGCAGAAGGCAAGATGTCATCTCGTGCCTCTTCGGCCCCACGGATACGTCGCACCCAGAGCGTACAAAACCACATAAATGTCCATCGACGCAGGTTGCGCGCCGTTGCCATTCCAGGAGACTTGCGTGGTGACTTGGGTCGCAAGCTACGCGAGTAGCATGCCGAAGGAACGGTTCACGAACACAATTTCGGCATGTATTTCCTAGTAGCCATGCGCAACGCTCGCCGCACTAGGAAGGCTCGCAAGACACCAGCTGTGGCTCGGGCCCGTAAGATCGATCCTCCCTTCTGGCAAGCACGTCCGTAAGCGCTGACTGCATCACGCACTGCAAGCTGTCTGTCTGGCTTCCCCTCAGTACGCGGGCACTGTACGGCGCAACCTGTTGCGATTCAAATGCGCGCGTGAGCGCTCCAGACGCATGCGCAGGTTCGGAATCTAAGCAGTCGCAGCCTCGCCTTCATCTCATGGTATCGGAGAGGTGCGGCCCTGCGCGCGGGCTCAGCATCGAGCCGCTAGTAAATTTCCCGGCTGCAATTTGGAGCTGTTTGCTTCCACGCGGCGTCATTGCGGCAGGGTATCTGCGATGCGGTCTCGCGCTTCGACCACTGCGGCAGCCCATGAGCGGCTGCAATGAGGCGCGGGTTTCGGATCCAAGTGCACGGGCGGACCCGCCACAGACATGGTTGCATTTCGCTTTTGGAGGTCTCCCCAAAGATTGCCTCCATATGGCTGCGTCGCGTTGTCGATTTGGCTCTGAGGCAAGCTTGCCTTTCGTCTGGGAGTTCCTGAGCTGCAGCAAGGACGCAACCTCGCCCCTCCCATGAGCATAGCCAAGTCGTTGGTCATTTAAAAGGGTGTATACAGACTGGTGTCCCAGGCGGCCAGTGGCCACGTCTTCGCCAATGGGAGTGCAAATTTAGTATATCGTAATGGTCTTGCCTGCGCCAGGGCTCCTGGCGCACTTGCGCACCCCCACGCAGCGCGTGGGTTTCGCGAGGAGATTATTGCAGGAGAGTGCATTCCTCCATGCCTCCCTGGCCTAGTGCAGGCCACCGCCCCGTCCCTTCCTTTCCTCTTCGCCCACAGGCTGTCGGCGCCGCTTGCTCCCCCCCCCTCCCTTATACCCCTGCCGTTCCCGATCGATGGTTGGCCAGAGGCCATGAGGCTCTCGCATGGCATTTTTTCCAGACGGCAGCTGGATGGTCCAGCACCTTGCCCCGCGAGCTCAAGCCGTCGCAGGGTCCTGCGTTGCCATGTGCCCAGGGACGCATCAAGTTCTGCCAGTCTTTGTGGGTTCCTGCATGAGCTCATGAAGGGCGTGAGCTGCGCTCAGTTGTGCGTGTTCTGGCGGGCACTGCAGCATGCCATTCAAAGATTTGACTTGTTGTGCAGATTTGACTTTCGTTGTTGGGGGCTTCCATTTTAGAGGCGCCCGAAAGGTCTACAGCTCCCGGAATTACTGGGCCGCGATGCGTAGCAGGGTGTTGGCCGACGTTTCGGATCGAGGCGTGCCCTGGGAGATACCCCTGAAGGTCGTCAGGGGTCACTGCACCCCTGCGAGGGTTCAACTCGGGCCGGCCACTCCCTTCGAAAACGCCAGCCTGTCAGGAGTGCAGACCCAATTCGCGCTGGCGAGACGTCCTCAGCCAGATTCAGAAGCCGGGCGAAGGCTGGCGATCCCGTGGCTGCTAAAACGTAGCTCTGGGAACTTATGTGTTTTTCTTCCGGGAAGCAGCCCGCTTCCTATCTAGTGCGCTGAGCTTGATTCCGGGAATTTGTTTTTTTCTTCCGGGGAGAGCGTTTTGGCAGCCACGAGTTTGCCAGCCCTCGCCCAGCTTCCAACAGATGATGCAGGAGGCTTGCTCTTGCTCCCTCGTGCTGCAGCGCCACCCGCGACTCGCGGCAAAGTCCAGGGGCTTCAGGCTCTCGCCTGTCGGAGGCGCCGTCCGCCTCTGCGCCTGGCGGCGCCAAGCGGCGGCGAAGTCGGCAGGAGGCGCGCACGGGGACGCATCCCTGCTTCGGGCTGGGTCGAGGAGGAACACGGGCGATGATGGATGGGTGGAGAAGGAAAGGGGTCGGGGGTGGATAGACCTCCTACCCTGACACGTCGATTGGCGAATTGGCCGTTTTCGGTTCGCGAGAGGGCGTCGCGGCCGTCATTTCTGCGGGTCCAGGCCCGTCGGTTTCGGTCCCAGGCCGTCTTCATGAAGGGGAGGTTTACAACAGGGAGGTTTGTCCACCGCCGAGGGAGGGAAAAGGGAGGCGGGACGGAGGAGGAATGTGGGAGGGATGGCGGAGGATAGAAAGG